AGACAACTAGTTAGACCTGCTGCCCTACATAGACTAGGCTTAAGCATTTTTACTACATAAAATAATAAGGTTATTACTATTTAAAATTAAGTTTAGCTATTATCTAACACACTACTAGGACTAGAAGGCACATATAAGATGCTTACTAACTGCGCTAAAGTAGATTTTATGTAAAAAGGCTTAAAGCTATGCTAAGCTTTACTATAGCACTGTATAATAAGTAATTAAGATTATAAAGAAAGGCATTACTTAAGCCTAAAAGTAGTAAGTAGCTTAGGTAAATAAAAAGTAGCATAAGCCTAACTTTATAGTAAGTAATAAAGTATACATAACTTTTAAAGGCTTTACTATAAGGCGCTTTAGCTAGAAGCTTAACTAGCAGATGTATAGGCCCTATTTAATTATAAGTATAAGAGGTTATTTGTACTAGCTTAAGCTCCCCCTATACATAAGAATGCATAACATCTTCCACATAGACTGCCTATAGCAGGCAGCACCTACAACGCTGCTAGGTTAGGTTAAGCTCTTAGAAAAGCTAATTAAGGTTAACAGTTACTCTAAGTAGCAGGTTTAAGACATCCTAGATAGTTATGTCTACTGCAGGCGTCTCTAATACTAAGCTTTATAGGTAGGCTATAATCCTAACCCTACCTAGTATAATGCTAACAGATTCCTTAGAGCTCTGCATAAAGTAAGGGACTTCTACTAAGCATATCTTACTAAGCCTAGTTTGCTAGCGCAACTAGACGCCTAGTTGCAAGTGTATAAAAAAGGCAAAAATATAGAACTTATAAAAGTTAATAATTAACTTACGCTAAAGTCTTAACTAGTTTAAAGACTAACATAAAGGCGCTAAACTACCTAGTCTTAGAGATAAGACTGCCTTAGAAGGGGGTGATGTAACAGTCCTACGCAGAGAGCTCTGTCGCGCGTTACATAACAAGCTGCCTGTGCAGCTAATTAGGATATAGAGGGTGCAACTAGCGCAACGCTATTAGTTTGCTTAGCGCTAGCGTCTTTTCTAGCGCCTTAGCGCCGCAAGCACTTCTTTTGCAGAGCTGCCCTTAAAGCTCCCTTTCTCCTCTCTATCTTAGTGTAGCTGAAATAGAGCCGACCTACCTGCCTTGCTTCCCCAGCTCTATACAGTAGTAGAGACAGTGCTTGTCATCACAAGTAGGACCTTTACTTTAAAAATAATAAGCTTACTAAATTAATTATTAAAGCTTTTATAATCTTTATTCTTTTTCTAAAAAACTATTATAACATTACTATAAAAGTTATTAAAGCTAACAACAAGATTATAATAGTAAAACTAGAGGTAGAACACTAGCTAGCATTACATAGAATAACTATTAAGCCTTTAGCACTAGATACATAAGCCTAGAACAGAGAAGCTAAACGCTTAGAAGGTGTAAATAAAGAGAAGTTATAGGCTATACAACTAGATGCTAACCTACTATAAGACATATAGCTATACATTACTAGAGCTAGCGTATACCTATACAATTAGACGCTAAACTATGCTAACAACTAGAAGACACTATATAAAATCTTCTTTACATAAGCAGCTTTAAATAATAAAGTTATTATGTTAATTTAAAAGCTAAGCTTTACATATCTAAAAGCTTATAGCTATAAAGCATTTATAATAACTAATAACACACATTAGAATAAATCTAAGCTATAGAGGCTAAACCTAAAGGTGTAGATTAAATATCTAGTTAAGTACTAATTATTAAACATCTACTATGTATAAATACTACTGCTAGCAAAAGTAATCTATACATATAATATTATTTTTAATAAACACTTAATCTTTAGTAGTAAGCTTAAAGACCTAATAAATAACTTTATGCATAATATAGTAAAAGAAATTACTATATACATTAAAATAATTAAGCTTCTAACACCTAGTTATTTTACAAAGATAACACTATAAATAATACATTAAATTTTAATAAAGTAGACTTACTAGGCTACTATTAAGAAAAAAAATTAGAGATAACTATCTGTTTTCTCTAAATACTCTGCTACCTGCAGCATTACTTATATAGTTAATAGCTAGAGCAGCACTAAAGCTAAGCTAAATAAAGTTGTTAAAGACTATACTATAGGCTGCAGCCTTTATAGCTAGCATAAGATTTAAAAGTGTAAAAAAGCATAGTAGTAAAACACTAAATAAAGCAGCATTAATAAGAATACTATTTAAAAGAAAAACACCTTATAAAAGCTAGCTGCTACCTCTACTATTAACTTAAAAGCAACTAAAGGAGCACCCTTTACATAAGATGTTTAAGGCAGCAGAAAGAACGCACCTAGATAGTTATTAGATAATAAAATCCTAGACAGAGGTCTAAATAAAGCTAATTAAGGCAGCTAGATAGTAGATCCTAGATTATATATAGGTGTACACTTATAAGCTTAATAAGCACTATAGATTATAAAGATGTAAGGCGCAACTAGTAGTTTATAGTAATTAATAAAGAAACATTACTACACAAGATACTTACACTGCTACTCTAGCAGAACGCTTCTTTTAAATGCTAATAGTAATATTTACATGCTTTAACCTAGAGCTTAAACAATATAACATAACTAACATGTTTATACATGCAGCAATTAACTGCAATATCTATATGTAGATGCTAAAAGGCTATTAGAAACTAGGTATAATACTAAAGCTTTAAAAAGCACTATATAGCCTATAAATTTCTTCTCTACTCTAGTAACACTATTTTATAATAATTTTTAAAGGCCTTAAGTTTTTAGCTGTTTTATATAAACTCTACTATATAACTAAAGCTAGAATATTTGTCTTTTTTTATATAGATAACCTTATTATTGCGTATAAAAAAAGCTCTAAAGTAGATGCACAGCGTGTAGTAGACTAGTTATAAGAGAAGTATACCTTAATAAAAAGTAAAGACCTATAATAGTTCCTAAGAGTTAAGATTATTAAAGATTAACAGTAATAAATAATTTAGCTATTATAAGCCTTATATATTAATAAGATAGCTAGGCTAGCTAATAAAAAGAACTTGCAGCATACTACACCTATAAGTAGAATTAAACTTATGCTGCAATCTAGTTTTACAACCCTATTAGAAGTAAATTAATATTAGTAGAAGATTAGATCTCTGCTCTTTATAGTAGTTACTATAAGACTAGACATTACTTTTACTACATTACGCCTTGCACAGTTTCTTACAAATCCTGCATCTAACTATTAGGATGCAGCTAATTAAGTCATCCTGTACCTACATGCGACACAGACGTACGCA